TGATAAGTTTTTGACATAATTTCATCATTAAGTCCTATATACCAATAATCTTAATAACCCTGTAACATTGTAAGAGCCTTTTCCTGGAATGAAGTACATAGTTTATAATCTAAAGGAATATAATACTTTTAGTAAATTGATCAACATAGCCACAGCTGAGTTACTGGAATTCTCTGTGTACTGTTCTGGACCTATAATCTGTTCTATACCAATGTTTTAAACATTAAACTTAAAACTCAGGGGGAAAGGTTCTTCAACTTTAGATCTTCTCTCCAGATCTCCATTCTTTGGAGTTTCCATGAGTGTGACCTGAAGACCTTGGAAGCATTGAGATTCAAATGTAGGTGGGTAAGTGTTCACACCAGCGCATGTGTTGATTGCCTTACAATCTCCTTGTATGTGCATCTGTATTGCACCCCCTCAGAGCCTTTCTTCCTCGTCCTTGTATAGATCATGTAGGGCCTGCCCATCTTGATATGTAATTTTGCAGTTTTGTATTTTGGTATTTGTCTGTGATGTGTATCAGGAGCAATTTTTTTTTTTAAGTCTTCAGACATTTATGACATTGTGCTGTCTAAGGCACTTTCACACATGGTAATTGTTTGCTGGCAATGGCCCTGGGTTGCATTTCTGTAGATTGTTGTGTTTGTTAAGCTCTTAAAAACATTCCTTTGGAGTTGCTGGTATTTGTGGAAGGATGTAAAAAAAGTCTCAGTCTTGTTACACTCAGTGTTTGAAATTTATTTCAATGTTCTGAACTATTAGTGATTCCGAAAACTTTTTTCCAGTTAGCCATTCATTTAAAAATAATATTCAAAAAATAATATTCCTTATACTATCATTTATGAAAGTCAGCCTTTATCCTTTGAAGTCCATTCACAGTTTTCTTTGGACAGTAGGAAAAAGCTATCAAAATTAAATAATTGCTTCCTGGGATAAGGGGGATTAATACCAGTTTATCTCAGGAAGAACCTCTCTGTAAAATAAGTTACTAATAATAACATACACAGTTGTAACTGAAATAGACCCAATCATGGAATATTTTCCTAGGTAGTAAGATATTCAGATTTCTCCCAAAATATCTGAGTAGATATTTTCTCTTTCCTCTGATCACATCTATCACGAAATTCATTGAACTAATCTTGTCCATGTTTCTCCCAATGCCCAATTTACAATAAAAATTAATTTATCTTTTAGGATAGCAATTCTCAAACCTTTGGTCTCAGGGTAGTTTTATATTCATAAAAATTTTTGAAGACATCAAAGAATGCTTATTTATATGTGAATTCTATCGGTGTGCTATATTTGAAAGTAACATGGAAAAATTATTTGAAATACACTGTTTCCTGTTGCATTTCAAAATAATGAACCCATTATGTCAACATGTTTTTAAAAATACAAATAACTAAATTTTCAAAAAAAACTTACTCTGAATAAATGCCTTTTATTGTATTTGATGAAGAAAATCTGACCAATAGTACAACTGATGCCACTGCCCTAATTCACACTGTGACTCTGGCTGTTTTATTTACCATAGCTTTATGATTCTCATTGCATGTCTGTACAGTAAAAAGAAGGCAGATCATATCTTGCTATTTTAATGAAATTTGTTTTTATTTTGATCCTCTGGAAGGGTCCCAGGAGTCCATAGAACTCATTTTGAGAACCACTGTTCTGTTTATCAAAAAAGTACAGTGAGCATCGTCTTGTTTTAGTAAAGCGGTTATTTTCTCCTCTGGGCCTTCATTATTCAAGAGTAACTTGCCTTCAGTTGGCATGGACAAGCTGTCAAGCTGAGTATAATTTTTGTTTTTGCTAGTATCACAGAAGTAGATATAAGAGGAAGCATCTAAATGATACAAAATAGTCTGCCCGATTGGCTGGCTACATATTTTTCTATCTATTTGTGTGTGGTATTTGTGTTGTATGTGAGTATATAATTAATTTGGCTCCTGGGTAACTTTCAAACATTTTCACAAAGCAACAAAATATTCATGAATGATGACAGTTCACACCATATGCCATTTGGCTGTGCAACTTTTTCTCCTGATATTCCACGATGATCAAATTTTGCTGTTTCAGTTTATATGCCAAAGACTGTATTAAGTTCTGTTCTACAATATCTCTTTAACATTTTGTCCCTCTTGTCCCCAGAACCAAAATTAGTAATATTTTAAAAGTGGGGCATCTGTGGTGGAGAAGTCAAGTTAGGAGAATATGAAGAACATTATCTTCAAAGTGGTGTCCTTCTGCTGGCTTTCTCCTTCACAAAATTCGCTGCTCCTCTGATGTCTCTGGACTGTTGGGCTTTTAGAGTTTGTACCAGCAGTACTGAGGGGGTGTGTGATGCTGACATATGCAGACGTATAGTGGAGTTTGACTCACACTCAATGCATGCGCTAGTGCTCACGCTTATGTACCTGAAATTGAATGACTCAATGGCGCTGCGATTTTTGAAGAGGTAGTCAAAATGAATAAATAAATAAACATATATATATAAATTATAGGAATACTACTAAAAAACAACTATCTGCAGCTGTGAATTAAAAATAAAGAACGCTAGTGACTGGTAAGTAATATCATTTCTAACTTGAAAAGTTCTTTTGTATGGTATTGTTGTTAAGTGCCATCAAATTGGTTCTGACCTAAAGGGAACCTATGTACAATGGAACGGAGCACTGCCCATTCCTGCACCATCCTCAACATTGTCCTGTTGGAGCCCATTGTTGCAGCCACTGTGTCAATCCATCTCTTTGAAGAAGATCTTCCTCTTTTTCACCAGCCCCTTACTGTGCCAAGCATGATGTCCCTTTCTAGGGACTGGTCTCTCCTGGTGACATCTCCCAAGTATGTGAGACAAAGCCTCACTATGCTGGAAGGAGCATTCTGACTATGCCAAGACAGATTTGTCTATTTTCCTGACAGTATGTATGGTATAATCAATAATCTTCATTAATACCATAATTCAAAGGCATCTGTTATTCTCCAATCTTTTTTATATGCAGATGAGGTGATTGAGAATACCTTGGGAATAAAATGCTTGGGTCAGGCACACCATAGTTCTCAAAGTGACATGATCATTATAAAAATTATGACAAATAATACAAGTATTGTGCCAATTTAATATATAGGTATAATCCTATTGCCTAGAATATAATACAAATATTTTATCTATAGGATAAAACAAGTACTGTAACTCATCCATTGTTTACTAAGTTGCATACGTAAGAAACAATATTCTCAAAAGCAAAAAAATAATTGAAGACATTCCACTTTTTTTAAGTTTCAGAATAGGCTATAATTCCATCGCAAAATTCGTAATAGTTTGACTATTGAAACTATAAATGCAATTTTGCTTTTTATTCAGACATTTTTTTAAATTCTAGATTTGGTACTAGATCCTTTTCTAATAATAGATAGACCCACCACCAAATAATTATTCATAAATTCTCATCAGTTTTCAGGACTCAAAAGCTTCAGTTGGCTATCTCTTCAAAATCCCTAGAAAACACACACACTGTCCAGAAGTCCATTCTGAGCGACAAATGACCCTGTAGACGAGAGTAATGTTTCTCACAAGGTATCCGATGCTGTAATCTTTACAGAAACAGAATGTCACATTGTTCTTCATTGAGAGGTTGGTGAATTTGAACTGCTGACCTTTCAGTTAGACCAGGGCATAATCATTGCACCAAGGATTCTACTTAACCCACTTCCTATACCATTTGGAAAATTAATTGTAAAGACAATCAGGCCAGCCAGTGCAAGTAACATCTAACGTGCGAAGCACCTCAACTCTGCCTTTTGGTTACGTTCTCGTACTTGTTTCTTCATTTATAAATTAGCCATAAAGCCTGGTAACTAATAGATACACTCTCTTAAAGAGGTACATGCTATAAGGAGAATACGTTTTGTAAGAAACATGGTTTCATCTTGAGATCCCCAAAAAGGCGATTTAAGTAAGTTGTAGAAACTTTTTAGCTTTAAAGTGTTATGCACCATATTTTATACAAATACTGTGTATATTGTACAATTATGTATACTGGTAAACCCCTCGAACATTACTTCCCTTTGTGCAAGTATGCATGAAATCCGTGTATGCACTATTTATGTGACTGAGTCATATGCACAGTACTGTACTTTTCAAGAGAAAAAAGTGCTGAAATAGCATTCCTCTATCTTGAAGTGAACCAGTTTTTGACAGTAAGAGTGTTTTCATAGACATGTGCCTGTGTCTTTACCTTGCTTCGAGGCGGCCCTTTTGGTTTTCATTTTTTTTATTTCTCTTCAACTTTGCTGCAAGTATTTTTAGCATTGTTTATGAAGAACCACTGTCGGAATTCAAGGCATATTTTATACTTTTTTTTACAACTAATTGCTTAGAAAATAAAAGCAAACTATGATGACAGGGCTGTATTACCTAATTGTCTTTGCCTATCAAGATAAATTTTCCACTAGAAGCTCTGCACTATAATTTAAAACAACTATGAATTTAAAAACACTTTAAGTAACTCACTCTTTTTGTCTCATTAAAACTATATTCTTCCCTAACAGCCATCAGAGAACTCTGCTTGCAAGTACTCCAAACCACTAGTGCTTGTGTATTTATTTTGTACTTTTCGTTCTCTATCATGAAGAAACTTTTAAGAGTTCTAAGACTTTTTTCACCTTGTTCTACATTAAGCTTTTTTTTCTATGCTTTCTTACTTTGCTTAATGATAACGTTTATTTATGTATTTTTAAAGCCTGATATTAAAAGGTATATGACCTTGTGGGATTTTTAAAAATCATTTGACAATATTGTTTTGATTGTTTCTGTTTTTAAATACCTTTGGGGCATTAGAAATATTCAAGATTCAGCTTTTTGAACAAATGTCTTAAAATTTTTCAAGAAAATCAAATGAATGGGCTTCATTTGCAAAAGGGAAAATAAAAGGTATTTTTCTTCTTACTAATGTTCATTTGGTATGTAAATTTTTCTTTCCTTTTTTTTTTTACAGATTCCCTTCAAGCTCAGCTGATCAATATGGGTGTTATTCCAACTTTAGTGAAATTACTGGGCATCCACTGCGAAAATGCAGCTCTTACAGAAATGTGTCTTGTTGCATTTGGCAATTTAGCAGAGCTTGGTAAGTCATAGTCATGAAACACAAGTGTTATTAATGTATTAATGCACTTTTTATAAATTGTCCTCTGGATGTTAAGAATTTGGAAATTGATATATCAAAAGTTTGTTGCCATCAAGTCAATTCCAATTTATAGTCACCTTGAAGGACGGTGTAAAACTATCCACAGGGTTTCTAAGCTATACTCTTTATGAAAAGAGACTGTTAGAACTTTCATGAAGCACCTGGTAGATTCCAGCCTCTGATCATTTAACCACTATACCACCTGGGCTCCTTATACTCTATAATAAATTGCTTATCCTGGGGCTAGAGAAATTAAATAAATATGTTCTTTTAGTTATCCCTACTTTAAAAGAATGGAAGTACCAGGAATCTAATCTTGGGTTTTATAACTCAAAAACCCATGTGGTTGTGTACTATACATTATAGTCTTGATTTCAATATTTTTTAAAGGAATGAGGATTATTTATCAGTTAATTTTTTTAAGTCACTCATATTCCACATATTTGTGTATGTCTTCTCTCTAGCTTTTCTCTTTTCCATACTACTCTTTTAACACATGTTTTTTTTCCCATCATTTGAATGAAATCAAGAATGAATGAGCATTTCGTTATTCTTTACCAAGGCTATTTTTTTCTGTTAAAATTGAATGTGAGCATTTACACACAGTAGACCTAGTAGAAATAAGACAAATCCTATTATAATCAAACTAATAGTTTATAATTTTATAACAACATAAACATGATGCAAGTCCCTTCTGTTTATTTCATTTGATTTTTTTTGACACTTCTGTTTAAGGTAGTCCCTAAGAATATCACTGTCGGATACAATAAATAGCCTGAAATATGGATAGTCCCAATTGAAGCAAATGGACATGATAAAATAGAAATACACACTGGTTTTCATAGCCTTGGTGTATAAAATATCAATACTTTATGTTGATTACCTATTGAAATAATTTGATCATGGAGGGGGAAATGGGAAGGGAGTGGGGAAAATGAGGAGCTGATGCCAAGGGCTTGAGTAGAAAGCATGTTTTGAGAATGATGATGGCAACAAATGTACAAATGTGCTTGACACATGGATGGATGTATGGATTGTGGTAAGAGTTATGCGAGTACCCATTAAAATGATTTGTAAAAATAAATCATTAATTTCATGTGTTATTTTCATTTTTTAGTGCATCTGGAAAACTTTAAATAATTTCTGTGGATTTCCACTGATATCTGTGGCTCTCACATATTCCTGTGGGACAATGCTGCTCTAGACAAGAAACTACAAAGTCATCTTTGCCCTAAACATGACCCCACTTTTCTTTTAAAGTTTTAGGGAGAATACAAAAGAGGCAGGACTGATAAACCTAATCTCAAGAAAAGAATTCTTGGTGGCACATCAGTTGAGTATTGGACTGTTAACTGCACAGCACCACCATCCATTCCTCTTGAGAAAGTTGTGGCGGTTTGCTGCTGTAAAGGGCTACTGCCTTAAAAATCCTGTGGAGTAATTCCTGTTCTGTTTTGTTCTACTGAGTTGCTATGAGTTGGAATTGAATCAATGGCAGTGGTTTATTTTAAGAAATAAGAACTGGGCAAAGAAAGATAGTAGTAGTTCTTGCATTAAAATATGCTGTATGAAGGCTTATATTGATTTCTTCATTGGCTGTTTCATGGCTTTTTTGTTTGTGTACCTAAAGTTTTGTAAATGCTCCAACTTCATGAACTGAACTGCTTAATTGCATGGCAAGGATGTTAGTTGCTGATTAACTCCACGCTAGTAGTCTATCATCATCTCTATTTCTGTTGAGAATCAAGAAGAATGGATGCACAATCATAACCTTCCATTGGTGAAATGGGAATAAATACCATTATAACCAAAGAAGGATAACATTAAGAGATGTTAGTCATAGAAGTCTTCCTATAAAAGAAGGACCTGGATAGATACTAAGCTTCATGTATCTTTTCAGGGGCCCTCTGAAGTAAATGGGACTCTACTCATTATAGTTAATCCACTGATTTAGCCAAAAGAGCTCTCTGTGGCAATTTTAGAAGAAGAAATGAAGAAAGGACTGAACACTCAAATATTAGGACTAAATAACTTGAAACCAGAAGATAAAACTAAAACTAACTAGTAGAAATAAAATTTAGAAAATGAGACTCTTAACTAATGTCCTATTAAGGATCTCTGCCAATTAATCCAGATATAATGCACAAATCATTCTTGCTGCCCTTTCTCTCTATCCACCTGCAGGATTAATAGATTATTTTATTGCTTAATTTTTGTAGTAAGCCTGGCATGTTGTTTCTTTGTGCTGGCAAAGAGAGCCTGGTACATAGCAGTCTGGTTTTGTTTCAGTTTAAAGTTTAAAGGAATAAGTATGGAGAGATTAAAGTGCCAATACTATTTGAAAGAGGAGTATCATATATACTTGAATATAAACCGACCGGAATATCCACCAAGGCACCCAATTTTACCACTAAAACTGCATTAAAAATGTGCTGGACACCTGGGCCCACCAAGCTCAGAGGACGATAGCCCAGCTCGGAGGGCCCAATGTACAGAGAGGACCACACAGCCGGCCCCAGGGCGAGATGTGACATCCTGCACTTACCCATGGCCCTACATGGGACAGCACCAGAGACACAGTGTAGGATGTGCGACTGAGCTGACCCCACCACACTGAGGCAAAACACCGGGGGCGTGCAATGGAGCGGCGGGAGAAGCAGAGCAAGGAGGTCCCGAGGGAGGACAAAGGATGGACTTGGGGGCCAGGACGTGGCACCCCATTAGACTCGTCCGGAAAACACACCTGAAGGTCAACAAACAGACCTTGAACTACTAACAGGCCTTTTTTTTTTTTTTTTCTGCCTATTTGTTTTGGTTTTTTCCTTTTTTCTCTTCTTTTAAATTTTGTATGGGGGGGGGGGGGAAGGTGCTGGAAAACTCGGCTTATACTCGAGTATATGCGATAAGCACATAACTAAATAAATAATGATACCTATCTATTTCACTTTGGATAGTTTGCATTTGAAATTCATTTGAAGAATTGTCTGAACCAGAGGGCCAACTCAGAATGTACAGATTTTAAATCACCCCTATTTGAAGCAAGCGGGACACTTCTTAGGGTAGACTGCTAACAGGTGGTGATTCATCCTCTCTGAAGGCTTAAGTGTCTTAAGCTGATGGCGAGACTTTGATGCTAAGGAGGGAAGATTGGAGATTTTGAAAAAGGAATGAGACTGCAGACGCATGCAGAGAACTGAACTTTCATGGTAGGGTACCAGGCAGAGTGCAGGCACATACCACTTTAATAATACTGAAGAAGATAAGGGACAGTTAGTTCAGCCAGGTAAAATACAGTATGCCATAAGTAATTTTTGCCCTTTGATTAAAAGCTTTCCAAGTATGACTTTATAATTTTAGCACTTTTGTTGTTGCTATAGTTACCTATTTGTTAATGAGCTTTTTTAACACATCTAAATAATGGGGTTAGAATATTTTCTCTCAAACATTAGTCTTTCCTTGTCAAGAGCAGCATTCAATGACACATTTCATTGCTTTTATATTTAAAGTGTTTCTATTTATTAGAAATGGTACAAAATGACCAGATCTTGAAAGTAAATAGTTTCTGAGTCTAATGTCGTTTGCTTACTCTAAACTTCCTCTTTTATTTTCAGAGTCAAGTAAAGAACAGTTTGCCAGTACAAACATTGCTGAAGAACTGGTAAAACTCTTCAAGAAACAAATAGAGCATGATAAGAGAGAGATGATTTTTGAAGTTCTTGCCCCATTGGCTGAAAATGGTAAGAATATAAATGAACTTAAAATATTTTTACCACATTGACTTTTCACCTGCTCTTTTAATATTACCTTAATTGCTCGCTACTTAACCCATAGCACTTTGTTTATTAATGATCTGATGGATTTTATATTGAGTATCCCTTAACTAGCTACATTGTCTATTAAATATCTGTATCTTCATTGGCCAAAACTACTTTTAAAGTGCTGTTGGCTTTCAAACAGTTAGTTAAGATGGTTCTGTAGCTTTCAAATTATTTTGCCATACAGAAAAACAAAAGGCAGCTAAGATCCTGGATTGCCCCTTTGTACCCTTGCACAACTATGATGATTAAAATTAGAGTCCCGACCTGTGCCAAGAGTGAGGGCCCTGGTGAACCGCTCCCCTCCTCGGGCTAAAAACCTTAAGGAGTAAGAGTGAGCTTAGTAACCCAGCTATCCCTTTGACGACAGCCTAATTGAGTCATATAAGTAGCCCATTTATCTCAAACTGTGAACATGGATTAAGATGACCTCCTACTGATAACTATCTCTACAAACACACAATAAAAGTAAACAAAATTATTTTTGGAGGAAAAATTCCATCATTTCAGGCCTTATGTGATTGCAGTAAATAATATTTTAAAATTTGGTGTCTAATACATAACCAAAGAGGAACAGGTGTTGTAAGAAAGCAAAAAGTGCCACAGCAGTCAGCAGAAGCAAATCTCCAGATAATGGAAGAGTTAAAAACAAACTTAATTATTTTAGGAGGAAACAATAGAAACCATATCAATTGATGTAGCAAATTTTTAAAATATTCAGAAATTACTGAACTAAAACTTACAATTAGGATCAAGTATCGAATTGATAAGATTTAATTAAAGGAATTAGAGGCCCAGTGGGTTAAAGAGCGTTTATGAGCACATTTAGGAAACCATATAAAGAGGAAAAGGACAAAATAAAACCCATTGTACATAAAAGAAAGATAAATGATACGCATTTTAGTGAGTTCCAGAGCAGAGACAGAAGAAATGTGTAGCGATAATATTTGAGGAAATTATAAGGGGTAATTTATCAGAAATTATGAAAGATGTAAAAAAACTTAAGGGGTCTAATGAATCCAAAGCACCTAGACCAGAAACAAAACCACATCATTCAGATATTTTAGAAAAAATAAGTAGAAAAGCCCTTCAAAGAAGCAACAATGAAACTGACAGCTAATGTCTCAGTAAGATCAGTAAAAGCCAAAGAGAGTGGACTACAATCTTCTATATGCTGAACGAACAGAAGTGAAATACTACCAATCTGGAACTCTAAACCAAATGCAAATCTGCCTTAAATGAAGGTATGTAGATTCCTTTTCATATGTAGATACACAATCTGAGTAGGATGGGAAAAGGGAAAAAAATACATTCTCAGATAAAAATTGATGCAAATCCACCAGCAGTATGCCCTCAATTAAAGTAGATGGTAGTGTTTCTGGTAGGACAAAGATTATTAAGGTGGGAAGGTATACACACAAGGAGCAATACGAATAGGAAGAAAAACTTCCTAGTAAATATATAGGTAAGCCTCATGAGCATTGAATCTGAAAATTATGTAAAAATAATTGAGAGATTTCATGTGTATAGAACTAAAAGTATTCCACAAAATAAACTTATACCATATATACTCATGTATAAGCCAAGTTTTTCAGCACATTTTTAATGCAGTTTTTGTGGTAAAATTGGGTGCCTTGGCTGAAATTTGGGTCAGCTTATACTTGAGTATATATGGTAAGTCATATAGAAGTTAAAAGGGGTTGAGTTCTAAGACCCTGGTATTACATGAAAGAAGATAGTACTAGGCTTTGATAATTCAGTGTTTTCCATTTTTAAAGTAACTATTAAAATACTCCTATAAAGCACTGATGAAACATACACATTCCTGCAGTTCTTTAATGCTAACTCCACCCCACCCCACCCCCTGCCCACTATCATGGTCCCAGTTCTACCTTACAATTCTGGCTATACCAGAGCATGTACACAGGTACAGATAAGAGCTCTAGACACACAGAATCCAGGACAGATAAATCCTTCAGGACCAATAATGAGAGTAGCGATATGAGGGGAGGGAAGCTGGGGGGACAAGGGGAAGAAAAGGGGAACTGAATGCAAGATCGACATATGCCCTCCCCCTCTGAGGAGACAAACAACAGAAAGATGGATGAAAGGAGACATCAGATGGTGTAAAATATGAAAATAAAAATAACATAAATTATCAAGGGTGGGGGAGGTGGGAGGAGTAAGAGGAGCTGATACCAAGGACTCAAGTAGAAAGAGAATGTTTTGGAAATGATGATGGCAACATATGTACAAGTGTACTTGATACAATTATGTGTGGATTGTTAGAAAAGCTGTAAGAGCCCCCAATAAATGACTTATTAAAAAATAAAATATTCCTAAAAAATAATGAATAATGACCAACTAATAGAAGAGTCAATGGAGACATTTTTTTTAAGACTCCATCAATCCAAACGAAAGTAAGAGAGGAGAGAAGAAGGAAAAGGGAAGAAGAGACAAGTAGAACATCAAAAAGTGAAATTCAAGGTGTAATACTTTAATACTTGCATTAATTATAAATTTCCTAGCTGCTTTAGTTAAAAAAATAAATCATTTGTCAGACTAAATTTTTAAGAGCAACGGCTTTTCAAAAGAGATACTTCTTAAATACGCTCACCAAATCCAAACCAAGTGCCATCAAGTCTGTTCCACCTCACGGTGGCCCTAGAGAGGATTCAGGGCTCTAACTCTTTACCACAGCACAGTACTCCCATGGAGTAACTGGTGGGCTAGAATAGCAAACCTTGGAGTTATCGGTTAATAGATGAGAAAATATGATATTAAAACCTAAAGAAGTTTTAACTCTTTAATTGTAACTCTATGTTACAATTAGATAACATAGAGTTTAAGATGAAAAATACTGCTAGAGATAAAACTGACTTTACAATGTAGAAAGTTAAGTGATATAATGTCAAATAAATTGTGGCTGAAAGAGAATTCCAGCAAAATTTTCACTTGTGTTTCACTGACTGTGTTATTCAGCTGTGTGGATAATAACAATCTATGGTTAATTCCAGAGCATTTCATTTTGCTCAGTGGATCCTCTATATGGATCAAGGAGCAGTGTGCAAAAAAAGGGAATACTGCATGGTTTAAAATCAAGAAAGGTATATGTCAGGGTTGTTTCCATTCACCATAGTTATTCGATCTGTATGCTGAGCAAATAATCACAGAAGCTGGATTATATGAAGAAGAACGCTGCATCAAGATCGGAGGAAGGCTTATTAACAACATACAATATGCAAATAACACATCAAGGATTGTAGCCTTCAGTATGGCTTATGATTCTCATTGTAAAGAAGACCAAAATCCTCACAGCTGGACCAATAGGTAACATCATGGTAAACAGAAAAGGTTGAAGTTGTCAAGGATTTTGTCTTTCGTGGGTCCATAATCAATACTCATTGAAACAGCAGTCGAGATCAAAGGACACGTTATATTTGGTAAATCTGCTGTACAAACTTCTGTACAGTGTTGTAAAGCAAGGTTCTAACTTTGAGGACTAAGCCTAACCCTGAAAATATTTATTTCCAATCACCACATATGTATCATGTGTACATTGGACATTGAGTAAGGAATCCTGGAGAAGAATCACTGCATTTGAATTCTTGTGCTAGTGAAGAACATTGATTGCCAATGTTCTTGGACTGCCAAGACAATCAGATCTGTCTTGGAAGAAATTCAGCCAGAATGCACCCAAGAAGCAAATACTTTGGACATGTTATCAGGAGAGACCAGTTCCTGGAGAAGGACATCATGCTTGGTAAAGTAGTGAGGCAACGAAAAAGACCTTCAAACGAGATGAATTGACACCGTGGCTGCAACAATGGGCTCAGGCATAGGAACGGTTGTGAGGATGGCACAGGATTGGGCAGTGTTTTCTCTGTTGAACATATAGTTGCATTGTGTAGGAACTAGTTGTGGTAGTTACATAGTCTGTTGTCAATTTGAAAGAGACTTAAGAGTGAAGGGGTGGAGGTTAGCCTGGCAATTGTGTCATAGCCAGTAAGGCCTCAGTTGTGGGCATGGCCTTCTCCTGAGGATTCTGGGAACTCCAGTATTTCCTCCTTGGAGGCAGGAGGCACTCTCTGCTCACTCCCTGTGAGACATTGCAGCTGACAAGGCACATGGAACTATGCTGGTGTCCTGAGCTGGAGGAACCACGTGGAGACCCCTGCCAGAGCTGAGATGCCTCTGCCGCCACTGGATCCACAAGACTTTCCACCCACCTGTGATCTTCCCAGCAGCATTGCATGTGTTTCATGAGCTTGAAGATTTTATAGACTGCTATTGACATATGGGCTAATAGCAGACAATCTGGACTGGGCTGGGACATTTACTCAATAGTCAATTGTTCTTATCTATAAAGCGCTTTCTTAAACAAATATGAGTGTCTATGAATTTGTTTCTCTAGTCTACTCAACACACCACTCATCAGCATCTAACAACAAGTCCAATTTACGTTATCTTAAAACATAGGAAGGAAAAATAATCAAAGCTGTGAGGAGAAACAGACAAATTCACAAACATGATGTCGAATTTTAATGTTCCATTTTCAGTAATATATATACTAAACAGAAGGAAAAGTAAAAAGTTTGTAGAAAATTTGAATAGCATGACTAGGAAAATTGATCTAATGGACATGTTTCAGAACATTGTACCCAACTGCAGAGCCCTTTCTTTTGAAGTACACATGGAATGTTTACAAGCAGATCATTTGCTTGCCTTAAGTGAAGTTTCAACAAATTTGAAAGAGTTCAATCATACAGAATATGTTCTCTGACATAGTGAATTATTTAACAATCAACCTTAAAAACATAACTAAAAAATGCATACATGTCTGGATATTAAATACACTTCCATAACCTCATAAACCAAATAAGAAATAAATGTAAATAAGAAAATTTATAATATATATCAAC